GATCGCTTCTCTAGACAACCACCACACACACACCCCCCGCCCCGTTGAGAAAAAATGGATCGCGGCTGCAGGGAAATGGTGCTAGAGAGCCATGCGCAGGGTGAAGGAGCCTGGCGACAGTTGACCGAAGAGGGCCGAGAGGGTTGAGCGGAGACAGAGAGAGGGAAAAGACAACGTCGAAGGACATGCGTGGAGCGCAAAGAAGCAATCCACACGATGACGTATCGTAGGCATGGTGTTAGCCTGATCAAGACCGACTTGAACACCTGTGAAAGTACTCAGGCTCAATCAAGGAGGAAGACTTGGTGGACAAGATGGAGATGTTGTGAGCCTTGCTAGTTGAGCCTCACAGTAGAGGTGTAAGACTCAAATAGAATATTTGGTTTTGGTAGGCTTGACTCGTCTGGCTTGACTCTTCACCCTGCTTGGCTGGGTCGCGCGCTTGGCTCTGGTACACTTTCTACTGAGGAACAAATCCGAACCTTCATGGAATCGGGAGGAAAATTCGACGGTGTCGCCCGGCGCGCAAAATCCAACCAACAAAGAAAAGTGCCCTTTAAGTAAATTTTCTTCCCAGCCCTCCCGAGCTCATTCTGGCCAATTCAACCCGAAGCCGTAGTACTCAATTTTAAAATTGTTGATTGCAACACAGCCAACTCCGCCACCATGAGGAATAAGAGGGTCAAGCATGCATCTTCCACCGAGAAGCCCCACCAGCGAAAGAAGGAGAAGCAGAAATCAAAACATAGAAAGTCGGCCTCTCAGGAAGACTATGGATCATCGCTGTACGCGCGAAGGCACTCGCTTGCGCAGCAGAAAGTGAGCCCATTGGAAACTCGCCGACCATGGCAGGATGACGACGAAAATGACGAAAACATGGGGATTTGGAACTTGATCTGCTTGTTCTGCTGTTGTCTTTTCTATTAGGAAGCGACCCAGCAACAAACAGTCCATGGAACATTGACCGCGGGAGGAGGCGGGAGTCTGCACTGTGTATGATCACACCTTTTGCCAGTTTCACGTTTCACGGGAGTGCGGTCGATGCCGACGCTGCAATCCAGAGTATCGTGGCGCAGGCAGGCATGGCATTCGAGCAACTCTGCATGAGGGTGATGGTGTCCCTGTCGGTACCGGTAGCTGTACCGGTAGTGGTATCGGTAGTCGTGGTTCCTGTACATATATATGCGCAACCGTGGGGGATTTCGTTATCCTTACCCGGCGTACCTGGTAGCCCTAACTCTAAGCCAGATCTTACTACTTGGTACCCGATCCCGAGACATCACTCGACGACACACCACATTGCTTTGAGGTAGCAAGAGACTGCGTTGACCCTTTGAGGAAGACCCGAGTACAATGGCCAACAGAAGAGTTGACAGTGCACTTTACAATGCATTGGACCGTTCAGACCCACCAGCTTCGCTGGAGGAGATTCAGTCCATTGTAGATGCAGATCATGGTGCTAGTACTCGCTATGTTCTGGTCGAGAACCGCCAAACTCCTCTGTTCCGAGCGTGTCTCTGTGAGTTTGCCAGAATTGATGTCATTTTTTACTTGATTGAGCAATGGCCGCAAAGTGTCCACATGCCAGATGTGAACGGTGACTTGCCAATCCATGCTTCTTGTCTATATGGGCTTGACTTTGCCATTGTCAAGAAGCTAGTGTCACATTTTCCAGAATCAGTGGGGAAGCAGGCGTCGGACTCTGAAACACCTCTGCATCTGGCAGCTCGTCCACTCTGCAGCAACTCTGGACCATCCTTGGAGCTTGTAAACTTTCTCTACCAAAGGTACCCCGATGCTATTCAAGTCCGCAATGATGCTGGTTTTCTTCCGATCCACCACGCGGTACTGTCTTCTGATAATAGTGGGGAAAGAGACCAGATGATTCGCTTTCTTGCCAAAGCGTCTCCCAGGAGCTTGCTAGCAGGAGACAATGATGGTGACTTGCCTCTGCACATTGCATGCGGGTGTGGGCTTTCTCTGTCAGCCGTTCAATTTCTAGTTGAGCTGGAGCCCCAAAGTCTCACTCGTAGAAATCATAATGGGGACCTCCCTCTGAATTTTGCCTTGCTCGACAAGGAGTCCCCTCTAGAGAAACTTGACTATCTCCTTGGAATGCATCAGAATTTCAACGACCCTGCAATCTTGCATCGGTGCTATCAGAAAAACTCGTCAGGAAGTCCGCTGGTGGTGCAATATTTGATTCAAAGGTTTCCACTGTGTGTCAAGGTTCAAGATGAGCATGGCAGAATTCCATTACACAAGGCTACACAAATGCACGTTTGGGAGAGACATGATGCAGTGATCAAGCATGCCCATGTCCAAGCGTTGGTGGGTGCTTACCCAAGGGGGCTGTTTGTCCGAGCCAACAATGACAAGACACCATTGGAGGCTCTTTTGAATCAGCAATATGCATATCTCGAAGAAACTCGAGAGCTCATGGAAGAGAAACTGAGAGACATTCTAACTGTTTCTCTCAAAGGTATTGCTGAGAAATTCAACGTTCCAGAAGAGGTCCTTGTCCTGTCAGTGGTGCAGTACGTTGTTTGAGACAACGTCTGCTTCTTGTCTTCCAGAGACAACTGCGGATGAGATGGGATCTGGATTCCACGGTGTAGCAGCCGCACTCCGCGGTATGCAGTGACCAAGCTTTTGCTACTGATTGATGTAAAAGTGGAACCTTCTAAAGGGTGTAGAGAGTTGATGAACAGCGGACCCCCCATTACTACTGCAAGCTTTGGATGCAGCCGTGATGCAAGTAGGTACACGTGTAGGTGGCCACGGTAGTTCCACGGTATGAAATGGCGTTGTTTGGTGTCGTTCTGGCAATCGCTTCCACGCTGAAGAAGTCCACACGAAAGCTCGTCAGCAGCCCAGCTGGGGAGTGCGCGTTCTCCGAAGCTTGGTCAGCCAAATCCAATTACGTTGAATGGCTTTGAATTCTACTATGCAACTGCAAAGCATACTAGCTAGTACCGGCAATGATATAGTAGCTAACCAAGAGTCGAGTCCACGATGACATCAAAGGCAGAGTGCCAACACGTGGACTACGGCTACCTGCAAAATGATGCACGTGCTGTGAAGTGCGACAAAGAGTACCTTTACGTGCTGAAAAATGACACAGCAACCGAGCACAAGGAACTGATGTTTTGTGGTGCACACATGACCCAATACCGGACAAATAAAGGCGCTTTTGAGGACAGATACGGAGAGCAACTGACTGAATACACGGTAAGTTCAGAATGTGCTCGACGAGGAGTGCGTTTTTGTGAAACCTGACTCAATGCGGTTTGACCAAGGATGAAACCAGCAAAAAGTGGTGCCCCCAAGATGGTTGCCAAAAGCATATGATGTCGAAATATGGGGGTGTCTGCAGGGACCACGCCATTTGCAAGAAAGATGGCTGCAAAGAGGAATGGAATGAAGCGCACGGTGGATTTTGCGAGCGTCACAAGCCTCCCGACGAGCAAATCAAGAAACACAAGACAACTTGTTGCGGTCCAAGTTGCCCAACAAAAGGAAGCGGTGCACTCACCGTCTTTTCGCCAGGAGCCACGAAGGAAAACATCAATCAGCGTTGGTGTAAACCTTGTGGCGACCCAGAGGTGATGGCGAGTGTGGATAGACCAACCACCAAGGAGCTGGACGCCGAACTGGAACATATGTCAACATCCACTCATGCAAGAATTCCGATATTGGGATTCAGTTGAAACTCGCTTTAACTGTGAATGGACAGCTTCATACACGGACAGAATTGACATAGCGTCGTCCTTGGCCGGTCTATCTCTGACTAGCACAAGCGACAGCAGATGCCTCCACCCTCTCGGAGAGAAAGTGACGAAGAAGCCCCAAGTCGAACAGTACTTGAAAGAGCGACTTGACCACGTTAAGCAGGTGGAAAAAGAGGAACCTCACCGTCTCATTGCCTTTACCCTATGGGAGAAGGTTGACAAGAAGAAGACACTGGTAGCGGCCAGATTCTTGAAGGCAGTGCCAGACGATACATTTCCGAATGGTCTTGGGGAAGATAAGAAGGACACCATTGAGGAAATCTTCCAAGACAAAAATTTGTGAAGGACTTCCACGAGAGCCTGCAGAAAGAACGTCGCCTTCGAAATCCTGACGGCACGAGAAAGCCTTACTCCCTGATGATCACTCTTCAGGCAGTGACGAAAGATGAGAATGAGAGAAACGTTGCTTCGTTGAGAACTCAGGGAGATGCAGGCAAGCGATCCTTGGACAAGATTGCAAAAATGCGGGAACTTACGAGAAGAGCCGTCTTGGTATGACCCTCCTTCCTCACAAACCTGACTTCGTTTTACCTGCTGCCTAAGTTTTCTTCGTTTTTTTGTTCAGATGGTCCGTCGGCACAGGGAAGCCATTGTAGTTGTAGGAGGTTATCGCTCATATGATGGCAGTTGCAAGCCACATGAGATGCAAGTGAAGAACGAAAGGGGATGGTGGAATGTGAGCTACGATGTGTATGAAGGCAAGACGAAACGAGACAGGTCCGTGTCACGTTCAATGTCGTCTCCAAGCAAGAGGGCAAAGACGCCTTGCCCTCAAGCCGAAGGCCTGCCCAAACAACGCAATGAGGCAGAACCAGAAGCTTCGTTGGCGGAAATAGTCAACAACCCAGAAACGAAGATTCAGTTACAGAGTCAAGCTGAAGGCGTAGACGACGCCACCTCTTTCGAGCTCGACGATGAGGATTTCGATTGTTGCTTTCACTGTAGCGAATAAGAACAGAATACTAGTAAGGTGTCAGTACCGGTATTGGATGGCACGGCTTGAAAGCAAAGTACCATCTAGTAAGCGTGTATTTCGTTTCGGAATTGGGCCGCACCTCTTTCGTTCACTTTGATGTCGGCTTGCACCATGGTCAATCATTTGCAAAAGCTTGCTGCTTGTGTTTCAGTTGCGTAAGAAACAATCTCTAAAGAAGGGTAGTCGGAGCTCTCTGCTCCACTCGTCGTGTTGGCCAGAGCCACCAACCACTAGGGAGAACGCGGGGTTCTCAGGTACGGTACGTACTAGTACCTGTACGGTGCGGTACATCGTATACTGTACTTACCCACGGGGGAGACCGGTTCTAGCAAACGAGAACGGTTCATTACCATGATGGTATGATACGGTTGAACCTACCGGTATCAGAAATCCTGCGTTGAATCGAGTCGAGTCGAGTCCAGTCAGGGTTGTCCTCGCCACCTGCATGTATTAACTTCTTTGTGCCCGCCCAGACCCTTTGTTAGTTTACTTGCCTTGTTTTAGGGAATCTATGCATAGTCTCAACCAGTCCACTGGCGGGCTGTGCCGTACCGGGAGTTTTCGTCCATGTCGGCACTAAAACTCGCAGGACAGGCAGAGGCGAAAACATGTTGGGGTGCTTGTTATGACAAACTGCTGGCTTGCACGAACACTGGGATAGCTCTAGCCCTACCGTACTACCCTGTACCGATAGCACGCAATTCACCCATCTTCAACGTTTGTGATGATGTCAGAGCATCTTTGAGAGCGCTGCTGGCATGCCACTTTTCTCGTGAGGAACAAATAATGAAACAAACGCAAGTACTACGTGGCCACAACCTTTGTCATACGGCCTTTGAAGAGGACAACTCAAATACCTATTGCCTTTGACAGCGCAATGTGATCAGTGCCATATGATTCGATGAGAAAGACACCAACTTTCTCCCTTCATCAGCCCAGATCACAATTTCAAGCTTCGTTCTGCTTTGGTTTGAAGAGGCCACTGTTCTTTCGATTCTTTGTTTTAAAAAGGAAATCGCGACCATGAAGTTCCAGTCGAGCGGTGTTTCGGTGTTTTGCATATTTCTTGCCGTTGCGAGCAGCCAAGATGGATCAGTTGTCAGTGGATTCGTCAGTCAACCGTCGCTTAGGACAGCACAGCGCAGTCCCATTGCTACCGACATCGGCCCCCGCACGAGTTCTACGAGTCCCAGTCCAACACAACTTTCGATTATTGCGAGTAGACATCGATTGAAGGACCTGGAATGGACAAAACCAGAGGAACACCAGGTGACAGAATGGCTGAAGAACTATGGCGAAGTGTCTCGTTTCTACCGACGCGATGTCTTTACCGCAGACGATTGGGTTCGTTCTCGTCGTCCTACACGATTTTGGGATACCCTGCGAAACACATTTCGGTCTGGACTGTTTCGACAAATTTCGCTCGAGTTGGGAGTCCTGATGGCATGTTCCTTCGGCGTCGTCCTCTTTAACAGACTCAATTGGATGGGCTTGATTGGGCGGTCGCTGCCCGTTCTCAAAATGCCCTTGGTCCCCTTTAATTTGGCTGCTGCCTCCTTGGGACTCTTGTTAACTTTCCGGACTAACGTTTCGTATCAACGATGGAATGAAGCCCGCACGGCATGGGGGAGAGTCATCAATGACAGTCGCTCGTTGGCCAGAATGGCATGTATCTGGAGCACATCTTACAATGCCTCGCCTCAACTTATCAAACGATTCGGAGATGCCATTTGCTCCTTTTCCAGAAGTCTCATGAACCGAACATTGCCCTCACAAGAAGACGATGCTCCCTTTCAGCTATACTGCCTCAAACAACTCAATGGAGGGTACAATGGAGACTACGGTACAAGACTGCTCCATGCCAAGCACCGTCCCACTGCCGCTCTCGCAGAACTCTCGTCCCTGCTGGTACAATTCAACTTTCATCCTCTCCATCAAATCGAAATGGAAAAAATGATCACAGAACTCTGCTCCTCCATGGGAGCCTGCGAACGAATCTTCACATCGCCCGTACCCACCTTCTATCCACGTCATACGACTCGATTCCTTGCTGTCTGGCTCTACCTCATGCCCTTTGCCCTATTCGAGCCACTTGGGGGCGGATTCTTGCTCGTTCCCGTCATGACATTGCTAGGAGGGTTCATGCTCGGTATCGAAGAATTGGCGAATCAAATGGAAGAACCATTCTCTATCCTGCCAATGGAAAAAATGTGCCAAAACAGTATCCGAGGACCCGTCATGGAACAGGTCGAACGAAGTACTGCCAGTGTCGTCGAAAATAAGGAAGATTCTACGACTGACACGAAACCAAACTACACCATGAATGCAAGCGACTACTACGTGCCCAAGACAAGCGACAACAAGCCGAGTGCTTTGATGCCAGAAACCCTACGCGTCAATGGAAGTACCGATAGTGCCGCTCCAAAAATCAATGGAGCCCGTGGGCCCGATCGAGAAACCTTGAAGAAGTTCTCCTTTGAAATCTAAGATGCATACTCCCGCTACACACGACGAGATAACCAAGACCACACAAAGGCAGCGACACCGACCGACGAGCGCATTCAAGTTGTGGTTGGTGCTGGCGTTGATGCACTATCTACGTACCGGAATTCCGTGTGTCCCATCTTTCATTTCCTTCTTCCGTAGTCCCTTCCTTCCATCCGAGCGACGAGTCGCGAATGCTTGCATGAAACCGATGCCGGCCTCCAACGGGAGGCAGCAAAGAAAACGTGCTAACAACTGACAAAACGTAGCAAATACTCTAGTAGAGCTTCAGACTGGCTTAAAATTATATGATGCATGCATTGATTCCATTCCGTTCTATTAATACAGCAAGCCAGTCACCTACCGGTACGTGGTACTTTAGATTATTACAGTTGCTTCGTTTAGCCAGTTGGAAACGGAGTTTGCATCTCCAGGCCGTAATAGCAAATCTTGAGCCACAACCTGCTACCTTCGGTTCAAAAGCTGATCTTTGGTACTTTCAAAGAGGATGTACCCATTCACAAATTCCCTGTTGATTGCTCGCAACCTTGTTAGCCAGCCTATCTAACTTTCTTCGGAGCAGTTGGTGGTGGTATCCTGGTCATCAGCCGCAACCCAAACTGCCACCGATCCACTGGATCCTTGTGCCACACAAATGTGTTCGTCGGCATAGAACCAGAAGTAAGTGTTGGGTCGCTTTTCAAAGGTTTTCTTCTTTTCCGCAGTTTTCTTTCCCCCTCGTACCAATCGTTCCAACAGACTTCGGATGCCGCGTCCTTCTCGTATATCCAGCGATGGCAGTGTGATGATTCCACCCAACAAGCAACCGAATGGTCAATTGTTCAAATTCGAGCGTCATGGTTCGATCGTTGAGAGTGTAGGTTCCTTCGACACGAAAGGTTGCGGCTCGGCTGCCGCCAAAGAATGGATTGATCTGATTGCAAGCCGTTCCCGTTTCATTGGTACTGGACGAAAACGACAGGCAACTGATTCCAGGTGGCAAGAATCGTCCCACGGCAGTGTCATTGTGGGTGTTCTGTAACACTTCCGGCGATGCCGAAAAGACGGGTGTCCAGGATTTGGCTCCTAATTTCTGTGACCAATTCGTCTCTGGATTCGTCGATCGGCTTAGCTCGACGAGTGCCTTTGTGAGTTCCAAGAGCGATGGAGCATTGCTGGGATCGACAGCACGGCGGAGCACCGAGGCGGGGGGAGATGTTTTGACGGGTGCAAGCGCCCTTGCTGTGAACAACAAACAGGAGAGAAGAAGTATCAAGCGGAATGGAAACGCCATGGTTGCTTTCTCTTGTATCTACAACTTGTACCGGTACTACCGTACTGGTACCGTTGCTCAAAGATCTTCTACCTACTACCTAGCTAGCTACTAGGTGTGGCTTTCACTTACTTTTCCAAGCAAACGAAAGCTATCAAGCTGCCGAAAAAAGATGAGGGTGGTGGCAATGACGGTGACGTCATGGACAAGATCACTTTCCAATTGCTTCGATCTTGCTCTTCGCAGAGTTTTCCTCAAGCAGCTCTGCTGGCGCTTATGAGACCACGTTTCGCTGGGTTTCATCTTTCAGCGTTCCTCCCACACGCACCCCAGAATCCTTTCGCCGTTATTGTTGTTGCTGCAATCCATTTATCGAAAGGAACAAAGGATCTGTGGTTTGGAATAATATTTGGCATTGTGGGTTTGAAGATTAATTGGATCTTTGTTAGGTAGGCATTGTGGTTGGCGAGCTTTCTCCAAAGTTGTTTGAGATTGCGATCATTTTCTTTGGTTTTCTCAACGAGTCGAGTCATTTGTTCTTTTCCTCGCACAATCTATTGTTTTGGTTTGACTGAATATTGATTGCAGTCTGAACTCTCCTCCATCAAAATGACGGACGGCACGAATCCTACTACTCAAGAGGAATTGGCAGAGCCCTTGCTCCCTCAAGGAGACGATGTGGAATCAATTCCCCCCGAAGATGTCTGTGCCACGACGGACAATGACGACAACAATAACGACGACACTGGTGACGGCGACAGCAATACAGAGTTTTCCTTCCAGAACGAGGTTGCGGAAATGGTCAACCTGGGTATTCCCTTGGCGGTCAGCTTTTTCTGTCGAATGGTGAGTACAAGTTGTAGTCGAACAAAACTGCCGACAAATCTCTCTTTGTTCCGGTCTGTCAGGTTTAATTGCTCACTCACGATTCTATCCAATCCATTTATTTTGTCTCTATTTCACAATCAATCTATACGATTGACAGGGAATGGCGTCTACCGATTCTGCCTTTGTGGGACACATTCACAATGGTGACAATTCACCGGAAGTGTATTTGGCCGCCGCCGTCTTGTCGGACATGATGGTCACGCTCTGTATCACTCCGCCATTGGCATTCAATCAAATTGTCAGTGCCTTGGTCGGACAGGCCATGGGGTCCAACAATCCCAAAATGGCCGGCATTTGGTTGCAACAATCCATGTTCTGGATCGCCGTCACAATGACGCCCTGTTTGGTCGGGTTGTTCTATGTACAGCCCTGTTTGGAATTGCTCGGATTTTCGCAGGAAATCAGTGAGGTGGCGGGACAATATGCCAAATGGAATCTACTCTGGCCCGTCCCGAATGGACTGTGAGTTTCAATCCAGTTATATTGAGTTGCATGGTTGTCTCTTCGCAGCAAAAGGAGAGCGAGAAGACACGTTGTCATGTTCTGACTTCTTCTTTTATTCTTTCCTTCTGATTTATGTACATGTAGTTACCAATGCCTCCGATTCTACTTTCAGGCGTGTGGTTTCCCACGTCCCGCCATGTACAACAATCTCGCATTCTTGGGCATTAACGCACTCTTGAACTGGATCTTTGTCTTTGGAGGACCCATCCCGGGTTGGAATGGATTTGGATTTATTGGGGCTGCCATTTCCTTGTCCATTTCCAGAACCATGCAAGGAGTCTGCTATTTCATTTACATGTTTCTCATCAAAGAACACCACAAACATGCATGGCCCGATG